GGAAGACGCTCAAGAAAAAAAGGCGAGCGTATTTCAATTTCTCGCGTTAAAAAAGAATTATTCATTTGCCCTCTAACGAAATTAACGCGGCAATGACAATGATATTGATACGATTTACAGTATGCAGCTTGATTTCCCTTTATGGTTTTCTATCTACATTTACTATCAAACTTTTATCAAATCCTTTTTATATAATTTTGTGATAAAAGCTCTGATGTTTTTTAATTAATTCCATTTGTTTCGCAAGTTGTTGTTCTGTCTCTCTCATTTTCAGAGAAGAAGCTAGGTATCTCCACGGTATGTAAGCAGGATTTAAGCGAACCTACCTCGTACCGCTCTGGCCGAACAAAACACCGGATTACAAACAACGAGGACGTAGCAAACCGTAGATTACTTCTTTGAGCGCGGCGCTAATCTTCGCGGTGGGACATTTCGAAATTCACCGTCTTTATCTCGTGAATCATCATCATTCTCATCCTCATCCTCGTCCTCGTTCTCATCGTTGTCGCTGTCATCGTTGTCGTCGTCGATATGTCGACCGTCGATTTCAATTAATCGATCCTGCTATCGGCATCGGAGGCGTGACGCGAGTGCGCGTGTCCCCCCCCCTCCCCCCCCAAAAGTTGACAATTATAAATTCCGAATCGGTCGTATGTCGGTGGTAATAATGAAGGCCCGACATTATCTATTATGCTTACAGATTAATTATTGCTAATAATTATCATGAATAATATGGGTCGCGCGACGAGTCGCTTATTCATATTCACAATGATGCCAGCAAGTCGTCGTCGTGAATATGTTTATTAGGCGCGCAGCGGCGCGAAATGAATAACCTCTCTAACTGATTTCGACAGCAATCACGAGCCCGGCATCGATCTCGCGAATCGACACCTCGGGAGAGCCGCTCGCTATTGCGCGCGCCTGGTCGACGCCCATAAAATAATATTTGCAACGGCGTCATCGATCGTTTTGTATACATATATATATATGTATATGTATATATACCTCCCTCAAAGACCGCGGCTCGCTTGCCGTGAAGAGATGAAATATGTACGCACGCGGTAGGACTGTAATGGAAATAGATTTCTCTTTGGCAGAGCGCCGACGGACGGACGGAGATCCTAGGAGATATAATTGGAACGAATTCTTTTTACATTCCGTTAATACCACCGTTACCGTATTACTGTAATGAAAAATTCACGCGGGGAAGAGGTAGAGATGATACTCCTCCCCCGTTCGTTGCTTTCTATGCGTTTTACAGTAAGGGCACTACACAGGTAGATTGGGCAACAATAGGAAAATCATTCATTATATTTGAATAATTATACTTTTCGGCATACTAAGAATTTTTAGCACTTATTTAAGTTTTTAATAATGGTCAGTTGTTTCTCGCGTTTATTAGGAACAACGCTCTATATTTAACATCATTGAATAACAATACATGAGATGTCAAATAGGCTATATTTTTTTCAAAATTCAAGGTTTAATATAAAGATTTTGCAATCTTAGGGCTTTTACAGTAATTAGATAAAGTAAATAATAGTAAATCTCAAAAGATCAATATCAGGTTCAATTGAGATTAAATACGTCCGCGGGTATCTAATTGAATCAATATATATATATATATATATATATATATATATATATATATATATATATATATATATATATAGTAGTAT